GAGGACCACGGGGAGGGGGCGGGCCCGCGGGGGGGTTGTGGGAAAGGCCGGCGGGCGCAGGCCCGTTCGCGGCCAGCAATCGGGCTTTGAAATCCGAGCCCGGGCGCTGCCAGACTGGTCGGGCGAGCGGGGCCGGGGGGGCGCGGGCGCCACCGCGCGTCCGGGGCGGCGCTGGGGCGGGGCCCGCCCTGCCCACGCGGGAGTGGGATGGCTGCTTGGGTTCCCGCGCCCTGGCAGGGGGCTCGACGCCACCTCCCGGCCTTTGGTCTCGGTGCGGTGGGCAGCGCATCCCGTCGGCCGGATACACAGCACAGAGCACGGGGCAGGGTGTCACGGGAACCGCTTGCCTCGGGACGTTTCACCCTTATCGAGTTCTTTGGCTTCTTTTCCAAGCAATGCCGATGCCTCCCTGATGGGGTGACCGAGGCCAGGCTTTTGGGGTGGGAGGGTGGTCTCCTGGCCCTTCAACAACTTCCTTCCTAATGGGTGGCGGTCTGTGTCAGACCAGCAGAGCAGGGGTGGATCGTCCCTAGTCCCTGATGCCTGGGTACACGTGTGTGAGGACGCACTCATGTGCACGTGGGCGACAGCAAGTACAGCCTGTAGTCCTGGGGGCTCCAGGCAGGGAAACCCACCCTGGAGGGGCAGCCCCACGCTGGGGCTCTGGGGCAAAGCAGGAACAAGCTCCTTCCCTCCCACTCCAGGGGCCGCAGGTGCTGCTTGGGAGCTCATAAAGAGGATAAGCCCAACCTGGGCACAGCTCGCCCTGGCCTGCAGGTGTGGGTGGGGCAGCGCTATTTCAGCCGAAGCCAGGGTTGGGGCACCTGCCCCTCCCTGGACTGATGTCTGGGCCTTTCCTACCATCGCCCAGTGATCTGCGAAGGGTTCTGCAGTGTGCAAGGCCCCTTTCACCCAGGAACTCCTGAAGCTCAGCTCCCACTGGGGGGACGTCCTTCTGCCCAAGGACTCATGATGGAAGTCAGATTAGGGGCTGGGGGAAGACCAGGTTCGTGGTCCCAGAGCAGGCCAGTGCCTGGTGCTCTCTAGGAAGAAGGGTCTTAGAGGTGGAGAGGGGGTCCCAGGCCCACAGCCCCAGTCAGAGGAGTGTGCAGGGCCCAGGCCCTTGGGGTAGAGCTAGCACTCCTTGGGGCCACCATGAGACCAGGTCTCCAGCACAGAAGGAGCAGGCAGGTTCGGGTTGAGGGTTTTCTGTTATTTCTTTATTGGGGTGGGGTAGGGTGCATCATTCAGTGGAGATCTTTGTGCTGGTCCCTATGTGCATACAAGTATGTACACACATATGTACACACACATGTTCACGTATGTATACACATAAACACACAAGGCCAGAGCTCTGATGGGCTGGGGAGTTCAAGATCTTTTTCCAAGAGAGTCCTAGAAAAAGACTGATTCCAGGGGATGGGTGGCATCTGAGGCTGTGCCCCTCCCACTCCACCGAGTGGGCAGCCAGCTCTGAGTGCCAGGGTGCAGCTGACGGCACAGGGGGCCTGGGCCCTGAGAGGAGCTTGGGTGGACAGAACAGCCTCCGGCCACTCCCCACCCCCACCCTGGGCTGGTGGTCAGGCCCAGCCCTGGCCCTGAAGACCCTGAGTGCTTCATGGGACCACTCACTGGGCCCTTCTCCATGCCAGGGCTGTCAGAGGACGACCCTCCGGTCCAGAGGGTCCCCACGCCCACTCCGCTGGTGCCTCACTTCCAGGTGCTTGTTCTGGACCTTCTCAAAGTGCTGCAGCAGCTCTGCGTAGTCGATGCTGGGGGAGTCGGCCTTCTGAGACTTGGGGGCTGCCTTCAGACTGGCTCTGGGAGGAGCGAGCAGAAGGGATCAGCTCAGGTGGGGAGGGCAGGGGTCTGTGGGGCTCAGCCTCTGGGAGTCTGCCTCATGCCCGGCAGCCCTGCCCAGCAGCCAGCCCCGGACAGCTGGGGTACCCCATAAGCAACCCCCCCCACTGGTGGGAACAGCCAGCACTGCTGCTTGGATTTCGCCCTCAGCCTGTGGGCTGGCGACTGCGCCCAGAGCAGGCATTGCATTGGGAAGCATTTCCTGTTTACGAGTGGCTCCCTTTGGGGTGAAAGCCAGGGCCAGCAGCCAGCCAGGAAGCCAGCTGGGGCCTGGAACAGGGTCTGGGGACAAGGAGGAGGGAGAAGCCTGGCCCTTTCTCTGAGGCCGGGCTAGGGCTGGGGACAACAGGCATCACTTAAGAGTCTCTGCTGGGCCCTCAACTTGGTAGGACACTTGTTTTCGAGTGCTGGGGCTCCGGGGCCTGTAGTCACTCCCTGTCCTTGGGGGAAGGGGAGCTGGTCTCTCCACTGGACACGCTGACAGCTCCTATGCTCCTGTTGCTACCACCCTCCCCACCCTGGGTGCTCTGGACAGTTGTGCAGTGCACAGCTTTAGCGTGCATGATGCTCCCATAGCCGTGCAGGGACGACAACTTCAAGCCCAGTGCTTAGCTTGCTCTGGACACCAGATCCCCTCGGGCTGCGGTCCCATTCCTCACCACCCTCCAGCGGAGTCTCGTGGACTCCTCCCTCACTCTGGCCTCCCTGGCTCGGAGAAGCAGATCTGTGTGGGCCGGGCAGTACGGGGTCTCATGGAGAACGTGGGCTGCTCAGCTAAGCAGGGAATCCCTGGGACCTCTGTATTCACGAAAAGATCCCGACAGGCGGGGTCCAGGCAGCAGCTGAGCACAGGAGCTGGCCACCCGGACTCAGCCATAACATGACCACTTCCTCGCCACCTGACTGTGGGCACGTGACTCAGTTTCCTCATCTATAAAGGGGGGGCTGCCACAGCAGTCACCCACTGGGGTGGTTGTAAGGATTCCTCCAGACATGGCGTCTAGCAGCTCAGCCTGGTGCCACGCCCAGCCTGGGTACCCAACAGGCAGCCACTATGGCTACGACCCTGCCCCTCTGAGGTGAGGCCAGCCAGGGCCCAGCAGCTCAGGGCCTGGTGCACGGGGGTTGCCATTTTGAGGGAAACACAGTGGAGCTGCCCCCAATGGAACCCTCAGCGAGCTCTGCCCAGCACGGAGAGCCAAAGGCCAGAGCCTGCCAGGCAGCTCTGACGGCCAGGAGGCTGCCGGGGCAGGACCGGGGGCAGGGGGAACTCTTCCCACAGCTGAGACACCTTCCGGAGCCCCAGCCCTGCTCAGCCTCTGCCTGCCCACACCTGCTCCCTTCCCCGCCCTGCTGAAGATGCGCCACCGGAAAACACTCTGGGTGGTGGTGTGTCTGTGGCCGATTCTTCACTGGGCCTCGAGCTCCTGCCTCCTGAGTGGGGCTCATCAGCGTCAGCTCCACAAAAATCGAAAGCAGCTGGGTGGGGCCCACACAGGGCCCAGGCTGTGGGCAGCGTTCTGGGCTCGCTGCTGCTTTCAACGCTCCTGGGAATGGGGCGAGACCCCCCCGCCCCCCGGCAGAGTAAGCCAGTGGCCAGGAGAGCGACGTGGGCTTCCGAGTCCAGGCTGTGGCGATGCTCCCCTAACCTACTGAGGCCGAGGCCAGAGGAGCGACACTGGTGTGTGTCTTCCGACCCTGGGTGCCCATGGCTGGGCACTGCTCCCCATGGCACTCCTGGGAAGCCACGGCACTGGGTGCAGGGGAGATTAGGGGTTTTTAGGGAGATGCTAGCACCCGAATGCAAACCTGGGGTGATGTGCACACACATGCCAGGGTGGGGACGGGGAGGAGGGGGCTACGTCCTGCTCCCTGTGACGGGCAGACCCTTCCTGGCCTGAGGTCTTGGGAGCAGGGAAGGATGTGTCCCCACAGGGCTCGGAGGCGCCGCCTAGGTCTCTGAGCATGGAGGTCAGGGCTCCTCTCCCGTCCGTGCTAACGGGCACGGCCGCTGCTCAGGCCCTTCATGGGCTCTGTGTTTACAACCCCCAGGCGCCGAGGGACAGAGGACGTCCAGCCAGCACGCAGAGCCGGGATTCCAGAACCCGGGGCCAGTCCTCTTCGCCGCCAGCCCACCCACACACCTGTCACCAGCTTTTCCTTCAGAGGTTCCCTCCTGCCTGAGGAGATGGTCCCTGGGGAGTGGTCCTGCCAGCGCCTTGAGCACATACAACGTGGGACGGGCGAGGAGCACAGGAGCTGCCCCAGCTGTTCCCGGCTCGCAGGACTGTCAGGCAACTGGACGCTGGCTGCCAGCTGCCTGCCCCTCCCAGGGCTGGGGCTGTCCGTCTGTGCCCAACCTTGCAATCTGACCCGTCCCCCAGCTGTGCCTGAGGCCCTTCCTTGCCCACTGCCTATGGTATCTATGGTATCTCCTCCTAGGTCTTTGCAAAGAAAGGCTGGGAACCTAAGGCCTTGAAGGCTGGGAAGTGCCTTACATACCCCTTTAGTCTAAATGTGCATTTACTGATGAAGAACCCAAGAGCCCAGAGAGGGCATGCGGCTTGCCTGAGGTCACACAGCAAATCCACTACAAAGCTCGGACCAGATATGACTCCAGGCCTGCAGACCGTCCACTGCCCCATAGAATCCTCCATCCAGAGGCCTCAGCCCCTTGCTTAGGACTTCCCTGACTCTGACCATGGGAGATGCTGAGGAGATCCTCATTCTCCCAGCTTCCCTCTGCAAACTTGGGCTAGCCTGGCTTGCAGAGTGTAGGCAGGGGTCCAACTACTCGGAGCCTCCACTCCCACCCCCAAGATGCAGCGATGCAGCGTGCAGATCCCTGACAGTGGCACTGACCCTTAGCGGCACAGGACCTGCCGCCTGGCCAAGAGACCTCCGCTAGGAGGGCTGGTTCCCATGGGGAAACTGGAGCTCACAGGTAAGCAGCCCTCCCTGCTTCTCCACCCTGCTTCTAGCTGTACCTTCCGCGCCTAAGTGCCTGCCAGGGCGGCCCTAACACCCACATGGCGCTGCAAAGGCCAACACAGAGGCCAGGCTAGTGATGCACGGCGTGGCTTCAGGGCTTCTCTCTGGCCGAGGGAATGTGAACGCTGCCAGGTCCCTGCTGCCCTGGGCCACTCAGTGTGCTGAATGCTGTCTCCTGGGGATTACCTGGGTGGCACCCTGAGCAGATGGGCACAGCAGAAGCACAAGGTCCAGTCCTGCCACCTGGAGCACTGCCGTCCAGAGAAAGGAGCAGGGAAGCCAGGAGCTGGGCCTTGGTGGGGGCCACACTTGCTGGGGGCTCAGCCTCTCTAGATGGCGTGGGGCCGACAACCAAAGGTGCCTCTGGGGGCCAGGTCAGGTGGGCAGGGTGGTGGGAGCGAAGCCCACCGGTACGGAGGGCACAGGGGCTCCCTTCAGGGGCCCAGAGTGCCGGGCAGGCCCAGCTCGCGGCTGCCTGTGTCCACCCTAGGGGCAAACGCCTGAGGCCCTTCGCTGGAGCGAGGTGCCAGGCCTGCTGAGTGGCTCTAACAGCCTGGGAGGGAATTCTAGACACACAGGGCATCTGATGCAAGCTGGGCGCGCTCCATTCAGCGTAAATCTTCTCAGTGGCTCTGCTCGTTTCCATGGCGACCTGACAAGTGAAATTTTCCATCTCGGATGCCAAATGCCTGTGGATGAGGCAAAGCCTCCAAGGGTTACCAAATATAGACACAGCCCAACAGGCTCTGGGGCAGGGGCTGCACCGGGTGCAGCGTGGGGGCCTGGGCCCCTGTCCAGAGGCTGCTGAGCTGGGCCTCTCGGTGGAGGTGTGCCTGGGCCCTGTTCTTCCCGTGGGCAGGACCAGAGCAGGGGAGCCCCGGGTACACCCCTGCCTGCCACCCACCCAGCAGAGGCTTGGGAAGGTCACAGAGGGGCTGGGGTCTCCCAGTGCCCCCAAGCTGAGTCTGCCACAGTCAGGCTGGGGAGGGCCGTCTGAGGCCCGGGACATGCCCGGACCAGGCCCTGTCGTGCTCTCCCGCTCAGCTGCCGCCGGGGCCCCTTCTCTAAGCTGGGGCAGGAGCTCGGTTTGGGTAACTCTGGGACGCCCAATGAGTTAGCAGATTTCGTCTTGTCCTCACTAGGCTCCACGCTGATTGCTTAGAGCAGGTACAGCTACTACCTACCGCCTTGTAAAGAAGCCCCCCTGCTGGGTGCCCTGATGCGGACACAAGAGGCCAAAGGGCAAGTGGCTGTGGGCTAGACTGTAGCTGCAGTGACAAAACGGGTGGGAGCTGAGGCAAGGGGACCTTGGCAGATCCTCAGACACCCCTCCCTCCCCAGGCTCCTCGGCCAGGGCCCTGCTCAGCGGCAGGAGCCCCCCTTGGGGGTGGGGGCCGCACTCACTCGGTCTGCAGCAGCTCGGGGTTGGGCACGCACTGGAGCCGGTGCGACAGCAGCTGGAAGGCGCTGCTCTGGGGCAGCAGCATGAGCAGGCCGTAGAGGGCCTTGATCAGGTAGGGGTTGTTCTTCACGTCCAGCAGCTGCAGGCGCAGATCTGTGGGGGCAGAGGCCAAGGGGCAAGGGTCAGGGGCCTGGCACTGCTCTGGAACACACCTGGCTCAGATCCCCTGCCTCAGCCTGGCTGGGGCCACCAGCACAGTGGCACCCACAGCGTGAGGACCCGTGGCTCAGAGCGAGGCAGGGGCTTCTTCCCAGGCAGCCCAGCCTGCCCCCTCCTCCTCCAGGAGTGTCTTAGCTGTTTCCATGATCTCATCTTCCTTTCTACCCACCTGCCCGTCTGTCTGATCTTTCCAACAGTCACCCCAGCCTGGTGACCCCCAGACCCGCTGCTGGGCCTGGCCCACTCCCCTGCCCCCCAGGCCCAGCTGCCTCCCCGGTAATGAGAGCTCGGGGCTCGTAGTGTAACAGATTCCCCAGTCGGCTCTGCACGTGCCAGCACAAGAGAGCTATAAATAGGGTGTGCTGGAGAGAAAGACGGAGGATTAGGACAGCTTTTAGCGAGGGCAGGATGGAAAAACGCTTTTGTGTGTAGTGTGACACACACCAAAGCCCCCGCGTGTCTAGGAGGTGCTTTTGGATCTCTGGCTCAGACCCCAGCCCTGCACCACCCTGGGGGTCTCCACCCAGCACCCGGGTCTCTGCCCAGCACCCTGTCCAGCCCAAGCTGCACGGACCCCGCTGATGGCTGCTCCCACCCAAGGCAGGCCCAGCTTCCCCAAGGCCCATGGGGAGTCGGGACTCAAAACGGGCTCTCACTGCTCTCCTGAGTCTCTTCAGAGAACCCCTGGCTTCTACCGCCCGTGTCTCCAGGCCCTGTCCAGCATCCTTTGTGGAGGGTGAGCTACACCTCTTGAGTGGCCATGTCCCCCAGAAGCAGCCAGGCCTTAGGCCCAAGAAGCTGGGACTGGAGCCTCTTCTCTAGGAGGCAGGAGCCACCCATGGAGGAGCCCCACATTGTTGTCCCCAGGCCTGGCCACTCCAGCAGAGGCGTGTCTAGAGTCCTTTCTGTCCTTTGGGCCTTGGGGAGCCTGGGACTTCCTGTGGCCAAGCTAGCTACCACCAGGCTCCAGGCAACTCAGGGTTGGAACAGGTGCTGGGCAGAGGCCAGGGGTGCGTTCTCCTGGAGTCACTCTTCCCCAACAAAGCCCTGGGCCCGAGGAGAAAGGGCTTGGGACTCCTCCAGGGTCAGGTTGGACGTGACCTCAGCAGGGTGAGTGGGCACCTGTCTGCCCTGGGAGGCTCTCGGGGAGGCGAGACATCAGGGGCAGGCTTTGGTGCTGTCTGCTGAGAACAGGGTCACCCTCCTGCTCTTCTGTCTCTGGGGCGTCAGTCACCGTGGTACCCTGCTGCTGGGAGAAGCTGGCCCTCTGAGTGGGAGTGAGGGGAGGGAAGGAGGGTCCCTCAGCCCCTGCACTTACTGTGGGCTCCAGGGCTCAGGATGGGCGGGTCGGAGCTGCTGCCAGAGATTGGGAGGCCTGGGCAGCCGGCTTGGCAGGGAAGGGAGCCCCGGCAGGGCTGCCTCCCAGTTCTCTGCACACCATAAACACACGGGTGTCACTTGGAGTGTGCCTGCTTTGGGTAGCAGGCGTCGTGTGTGTTGAGGCGCCAAGGGCGGTGCTCGCCCAGCCAGCTGCCGCCTTTGCATTCAGCCGGGGTGTTACTAACCAGGCAGCTGCTGCCCACCAGCTCTCAGCAAATGCCAGCTCTTCTTTCCAAGGGGTGCGGGTGTGGCTCCTGGGCAAACAGGAGCCTGCAGGGGGGCCCCACAACTTCAGAGAGCCAGGGCACAGGGTGGCAGGCTTGGAGGAGGGGCTGGGGACAGCCCTGGGCAGGCCTGATATTAGCCTTCAGGTGGGTTTTGCTGTCGGCACTGGCCTGTGTCCATGAGACCCACCTTGAGGGACATAGGCAGGACACACATTCTGTTGTCACATGCCCCTGCCCTGCTCCAGCTGCTTTCTCAGCCAACTGTCATCCCAGTTTTACATTCTTTTTTTTTTTTTTGAGACAGAGTCTTACTCTGTTGCCCGGAGTAGAGTGCCGTGGCGTCAGCCTAGCTCACAGCAACCTCAAACTCCTGGGCTCAAGCAATCCTTCTGACTCAAGCCTCCCGAGTAGCTGGGACTACAGGCATGCGCCACCATGCCCGGCTAATTTT